TAAAAAACAAATGCCCAACAAATAATCCAGTATATTATTTCTGATGAACACATAGAGATTCTGAAGAAGGAATCTTTTTCCATCCTGTACCTGCAATATTATTAAATAAACACAGTTCATATGCATCCTTGATCCTAATTGAATAGTTTGCCTATTATAAATTTTTACAAGAACTAAAGTGTGTTTCAGTTTTACTTAAAATGTTGGATTTCCTTGCTCTGTAGCAGCCCAGCTACTAACTTAGATTTAGGCATGTACATATTCATGTATTAGTCTTACTTCTATTTAGGATAAGAAATGTTTATCATAGCATAACATTCAGACAAGGTTGTCCTTGCACATCCTTGTTTTATCTAAAGCCCAGCCTATCTTTTTCTACTCATGTCATCAGCAATTTTTACTAATTATGTCCTGATCAATATCATTAATGTGAATATGAAAAAGCACAGACCCCTGAATTACTTCACTTATAATAAGGGTTCAGTGTAACTGGACACAATTAATAATAACTCATCAAATCACCATAAAATTCAATTAATTAGTTTTTCCCCAACCTTCCTGATATGATTTTTGTAGCTAATCTTTTGTATGGCACTTTATCAAATACTTTGTGAAAACTTAAGTACACTAAGTCGACACTCTTTTCTTCATCCAGATAACAAATATTATCATTAAAAAGAGACAACAGATTAGTAAAGCAAGATTTCCTTTGGTGAATTCATTTAGGAATTCCTATATTTTTAGCTAAATGATTATGAAATGCTTGTTTTATCTATAGAATTTTTTGCACTACAGAAGTCTGACTAACTGGCCTAAAATTTCCCATGTTAACTCTTACCACCTCCTCTGAAAATAGAAGTAACATTAGCAATTCTCTAATGGTCACTGTCTATTTATCTGTACCAACAATTAGAGAGAGAAGTTTGTATATCTTATCTCTGATCTTCTTTAAATCCCTGGAAACAAACTGACAGGTCCTGGTGCCTTATGTTTAATCTCTCAATATTTTTACTTACAATCGCCAGATAAATATTTGCATGACTAATGTCATTTTAAATATTTACCATAGAATGCTTAGGGTCAGAGATATTACTAGCATCTTCTCTTGTGAAAAAAGAAAGAAAACAAAACATTTAGAAGCTCAACAATTTCATAGTCTTCAACAAAAACCTTACCATAAGCATCCTTTAAGGGCCCAATCCCCATTTCATATTTTGCTTAGTTTTAACATAAAATCATGCTGTTAGTTTTAACATTTATCAACAAGTTATTTCACATAAGTCCTTTCAAAATTTCTTTCTAATCAAATACCTTGCTTTCCTATGGTTCTTTAAGTTTTCCAACTTATCTTTCAATAAATTTATCCCTGGTTTTGTTATGTTGTTAGTAAGCCAATTACATTTGAATGTCTTTATTTTCTTTTCCACTTTTTAGGAACATGCCTACCTTTAATTAAAAGCAATTTATTTTTATAATTTCTCCAAGTCTGCTGCACATCACTCTTTGGCTTCATCTGTCTGATCAGGTGGCCTATAACAATCCCCTATTAAAAACTTTATAAACTTGAAAGATCTAATTGTAAGCTGTATAAGATTAAACCTCTTGTCTACCATTTTCCATCTTCAATCCCAACATTTCTCCCTTGTATAAAGAGCCACCACACTTCCTGTTAGATATACACGACTCTTTCTGGACTTTGTTGGTGACTGACAGATAGCCATTGAAGAGGAGAAACTAACTCATATATAAGATGCACCAGCCCGAACAACCAAGCAGCAAGTCAGATCCTTCCTGGAGTTAGTGAGATACTATAGGAAGTTCATCCCAAACTATGCTGAAGTCACTGCACCATTGACAGACCTGACCAAGAAAGGCCAACCTAACAAGGTGAAGTGGGAACAACCACAGCAGATGGCATTCCAGGAGTTGGCGAACATGTTAGGAAGTTTGCTAATTCTTAGAATACCGGACTTCAACAAATCATTCATTGTTCAGGCTGCTGCATCAGATGTTGGCATTGGAGCAGTACTTCTGCAAGAACATGAAGACAGACTCTTTCCCATAATGTATGTCTGTAAAAAGCTGTTGAACTATTCTGTGATTGAACGAGAGTATCTGGTCATCATATTTGCCACCTGGAGATTCCAGAACTATCTCTATGGGAAGGAGTTCATCATCCAGACAGACCATCAGCCCTTTGCATGTGCAAAATCAACAGTGCAAGGACCATGAGGTGGATATTGTACATCCAGAACTACTGGTTCTGCATTAAGGCCAGCAAAGGGACTGCAAATGTTGATGCAGACTGTATGAGTAGGCTTTGTAGATGAGCTGAAAACAATCTTTGTATATAGTATAAAAAAATGTGTTTAAATATTTTTCTCGAAGAGGGGCTTATCGTTTTAGATATGTATCTGTTCAAGTTTAATGCAAAAGTTATGATTTAGTTATATGTATAGCACAAGTGTTAAATTTAGTTATTTTTAGAAGTGATAATTTATTGCAAGCTTGTTTACATAACTGTTTGCAAATCACATGTTCTGTAGTTCAATAGTTATGAATTGGTGATTGTTATATTATTGCATCATGTTACTAGAACCTTCTGAGTTTTTATCATTGTTTTAATTGAGTATTATTGAATCATAATATCTAGTAGTGTGTAGAATGTTCTAGACCTCTGTCAGGGTATAAATACTCATCAAAAATGTAGTTTGATAGACAGATCTAGACTGTGGGATTGTGAGTTTAGCCATAAAGAGCAAATAGTAGCAATTTTTAAAGTGAAATGATCAAAAACCGTATTGTAATAACAGAGTAGGGAAGAATAATTTGTCTTGGCAATTGTGTTCTAAAGTAATTGAACCAGCCTTTGTTGACTTTGAGAAAATAAAAGAGACAAGTATTTAAAGTTTGGGATACAACTGTGGTAACAAACAGTTATAGTGGTGATTTTAAAATGAAATTATCACAGACTGTATTGTAATAACAGTGCAGGAAGAATAATTCATCTTCTCAAATTGTGTTCTAAAGTAACTGAACCAATCTGTGTGGCCTTTGATGAAAAAGAGTCGATGATTTAAAGCTCTGGATACAACTGTGGTAACCACCACTGCTGATTCACTGTATAGGGTTGGTCAACCTCTGGCAGTTGGATGCAAGTGTGCTGTTTACAGTGTATTGTTTGCAAAAATTCTGTGAGCAGTTAGAGCATCCGGAGACAATGGGTTAATGATAGGTAAATCACAAGAAGTGCTTGTAACAAAAAGTATCAGGGTTTTAAAATTCTTAATGATTTTTAAATTTCCACTCATGCCCCATTTGTTAATATACATGTTTTTACTAATACAATATATACATATTTCAGGCTTAAGTTGAATTAACCTTTTCCAAACTGGAGGAGTGTCACTGATATCCCTTGATTTTTCCTTTTCAAAGTGAAAATACTTAATCAAATTGCATGGAACTTAGAACAACTTTATTAAATACTATCTAGTTTGACTTAAAAAACCTCATATAGTGTAATCTGTTTTTCTATCATTTTTAGGTTGCAAAATTTCAAATGTTTTGAGAGACCTTTGTTTGAAAAACTTTTTAAATACTTCCTTTCTTCTGAGAATTCTTTAAAATGCTGATTAAGAAGATCCACTTTATATATCCAATCAGTTTAAACTTGACTGATATTCATTAAACATACTTTTTTGATACTGTATTTTGACACTTGTTGTAGCGACCACTTCCAACTATAAATCTAATGGTAAAAAACACTACAGATACTGATGAAAGATGTATTGGTGATTGATGTCCTGACCTTTCAAAATGGTTAGCAATGTTCTTGGCCAAAATCTATTGATATCTAACAAATGCACTTTCTTTTAAATAGATTATAACTTATTTTATCTATGTGCATTGTTGGAATATGATAAACTTAACATTAATCTTAAACCATTATTTGACTCTTGTTTCCTTGACACTCTTGTAGATTTTCTTGAAATAGCATTCTGTGCAAGTTCCAACTGACTGTATACTCCTGATATTTCAAATCTAAACCATTAATTGACAAAAGCCTGAGTGTGTAAGTCTGCTTATAACTGGCAAACTTATGGACTGCTTGTATCTGGAAACTTAATTTCTCGTGATAAAGTCATAAATTACTTCTCACACCAGTTCCTTCACTCTACATTGACATAAATAGTTTATAATCTGCTCTATTCAACGACATTCAGACTTTGCCTTAAACTATTTTTCAAAACTGAGCTTCTTTAGTACTTGGGGGTCATAAAAGGGTGGGAACAAGTAACTTCACAAATAAAATCCAAGAAAGAGAAGGAAAATCACATGAGAAACAAAACCATGAGAACTATATTTTCAAGTGATGATAGTTTTCATGAAATATAAACATATCATTTAGGATCGATAAAAAAAATTCTCCAAAATCAATAAGGGTGTTGTTTACAGGCAAAACTCCGCGGAGCTGTGCAAAAATGTAAGTTTGAACAATTTTTTTATTTTTCTTTGAAAATTTAACTAAATGTTACAAAATGACAAAATATCAATTATAAAATATTTTTGAGTAAAAATATTGTTGAAAAATAATTATAATTATTATTTGACTTTATTTACATTTTGAAATTTGATATGCTGGTGTGCTGAAAAGTGCTCAACTGTCTGGATAGGGTTAATTACAAATGCATAACAAAGTTAAAGTCTGTAGCTATATTTTTTTTATTATTCCAGAGTTTAAAAACTTAAATGAAAATGATTATGTCAAAAATGTTCCTTGTCAATTGTATATCATATAAGAATTTCCTGTTTTTTTTATCTCAGTGACCTGAAATAAACTAGTTTTTTAATGGTTTATTAAACATTGGAATATAGTGTGCATCTAAAAGGTATTATATTTCTTTATACTGAAGTTAATTAAAAACATTTTTTTGGTTTTAACTTCAAAAATACATAATTTAGTTACTGCTTTTCATATTTTCTGGTATATCATCTCCTACCTGTATGCCTCGCTTCTCTAAATGACAAAAAAGTGCTTTGTTCATCAGCAGTCTGAAATATAGAAACAGTGCATATTAACATATAATCAATAAACATAGCTCAACATAGAATTCAACAAACATGATTGCTACTTTACTTTCAATTGCTAACCTAAAGTTAAATGGCTATTTAGATATCATTATTTTTACAACAATTATGAAATAGCTATTCAAAATAAATGTTCTTTTGAACTCAAACTAGAATAAGTCAGATATATTTAGCATGTTTAATGTTGTCATTCACATTTAATAGTTCTTATACAGTAAGTACGATATTCTGTCATACAATTACAGGCCACTTTATCTCCTACCTAATATCAGATTTGGCCACCTTATGCAATGATAATAATTTTAGAATAAGCATGATATAGACCTGTGATTCACAATCTGTGGTACTCATAGACTCAAGGATACACAAGAATCTTTGAAAAACATTATAAATGAAATAAACTTCATGATTGAATACTGGAAGGAATCTTGGTAAGTTATCAATGTGTTCTACTAGTCAACACTCAACATTTGTGTTGTTGTTGACTCAGTGATAATAATTTCTTTTGATTTACTAATATAAATCACTCTAAATGTTTTTTGTTAATTATGTGCATCAAAGGTATTGAACTGGATCAGAGGTCTGTCTGTAGGTATGCAGCATGTTGAAAGATATCATATTTGATTGTAATCTATACACTAGCTCTCTTATTAACCCTCTGAATGTGGATCGGTTAAAATGCAAATATAACAACATTTTTACTGAATTACTTTCAAAATTCAATTAAACTAATTTATCATCAGTGTATATCAATAACTTTGGCATCATAATGTAGTTAATAAATCAAATATATGTTTTAATTTTTTAATTTCAAAAGGAAATATTTAAATAAATTCTCACACTTCACTTTCTGTGACACTTATTTGCTCTGAATTGCCCATTTTCAATTTTTTAATTTCCTCTACATGACATTTTGGGTTTAACATAAATTACACATCTATAGTACATATATTACCAAAGTACAGTCCAATTTTATAGCCTCCATTCATTTTGGTTTATGAAGATATAAATGAGAATGTCAAACTCATTTGCCATGCCCTCCTATCATATCCTGTCTTTCACAAAATTCTCTTTCTTATGTTTGATCCTGGATGATTTATAACCGATAGAGAGAAAATGTTTTGATTTACTAATTTCCAAATAAGAATAATTCATTCTGATGACAGTATTTCAATTATTCAGCCTACAGATTTATTGTTACTATTGCGAAGTTCACATCATTTAAGTGAATTATCCTAAGGCACTAATACTTTAGTAAGAAAGCCAATTAAATTGTGATAGTTATAGGACATAGTAAGCTTTATGCATATTATTATTTTGTGTTCTTAAGTGCATATTTGAAATAAATAAAAATTATTTTCTGTGCTACTACAATTGTTAAAAAAAGGTAAGGTTAGGGTTCTTCAAAGGCCAATAGAAAGAAAACAAAAGGTCAGGTGTAAGTGCTAAATTTCTTGTTTTTAACTCTTTTGCTACTGAAAAGGTGGATTACACTGATCAGGTGATGTCAAAGTGACCATTAGAGTTTCCATTCTATAACTTTTAACATGCATTGTGTATCTTCATAAAAGTTTTCAAAAATATTAGTAACTATTACAAGTCTTTTGTAGACAAAAAGACAGGATTTTAAATTAAGTATTTTAACTAAAAATGTGTAGGTGAATATATGGAGTAAGAGTGTTGACTTCTCTGAGTGCAAAGTGAATTTCATATTAAGATTAAAAATACTTATCTCCTTCTGAAAATATTCAAATTTCATTTGCATAATCTCAAAAATCTCCTTAATAAATATCAAATGTTTTTTCCGGAAAAACTTTATATTTTATCTGTTATTTTCTTTAGCCTTATTCTATATTGGATCAGTCAATTTGACTGCCCTTGTAATCACCATAAAACTTTAAAGGTTGAAAAATGCAAAATAAAGTGAGTAGTACTGTTCTATCTTCTTTAGTATTGATGATGAAGTTCCAAAGTACTTCTCCTGAGAGTTTCTGCTTGTAATTTTCACATCTGTTTTCTAGGTTTATTTTACTGTTAGCAGCTGAAGTAGAAACCTGCTGATCATAAAACAATGAATCACCACTCCTGCCATTAGACTTGTTTATGTGACCCCATAATACAATACTGTTGGTAGGAAATAAGTTTGTGCAGCACAATTATCAGAACTTTCTCACAGAGTTTATTGTAATCTTGGCAGTGAGAACACAGTGGGAAGGGATTTATTGTCTTGTTTAGAGTATAGTGGTTGCAACGAGAATTGTCTAAAGTAATAAAAGTGGGAGAAAATGTTTCTGATATGGCTCTGTAGAAAGTCTGGGCTAATACAATAAACTTGGTAGGTATTTGGACATTAGTTATCTTTCTGGGGTGGTCAGAATTTAGCAGTATTGGAGTACAAAGTGTGTAAGTGCTTATGAAAATGTATATATACATATTATTACCATTTACTTATAAATGCATAATTTTTAGTTATTTTTCTTAACACGTAACACAATTAATAAAAAATATATAGAAAAACAATGATTTCTAGTAATTACATTGTTACAAAATTTATTTGAACTTGTGTATTGTACTTGCTAAGCCTCACCGCAAGCCTAATTTATTCTCTCAAGTGGAGGGGGAAGACAAAAGTTCACAATGGACTTTGTATGGTAGGTGTAATAAAATATAAACAGAGCAATAAGTTATGCGATATGCATTCACACAAACAATGTAAAAACCATGATAATAACTATCAATGACTATCCTAGATTCATTAACGACTCCAGTGCATGAAAGTCAAAAGTTTCAAAATGGATAAATTAAGGGTATGTGACAAAGCGTTATTAGCAAGTTTAAGTAGGTTTAACTACTTTTAAGTCCTTTCCTACATCCTAATTTGTAATAAGCAGTTGCATTATTGTTGTTTATCCATTGAACAATCTTTTGTTGTGATCATTTTGTAAACTTATTTTTAATATATTTTCTTTCGTGGCTTATATTATTACACTTTTATGGTTAAACAATTTCCAAATGGGTACTTACTTCAGAAACACTAAAAGCCTTTCCTTGTTGTGTTGCTCTGTCAACAACCATATAACTCAGAGTTCTGAATGTATTTGATGCATAATTATTACCCATAATTCTCCACTCTTGGAGAGACTTCCACATGATTTATTGCAAACTCATCAGAGCAATTTACATAAGCTCTGCTTTCCCAGGATAATTCAGACTTATAAGTTGCAGTCATGATGGAAAACCATATATCATTCAATCATGAAGAGGTGGTGGGAATGTATTTCAGATTGACCATAAATACGTACTTAAAATTCACTTTCATTATAAAAAAGACAGCTCCAAAAATGTGGTCAAGTATAGTCCAAGTAGTATACAGAAACAGAAACATTTGAAGAACTGGATTCAAGACATAATGATTGAAGGGGACCAACCGTATATAAAGACTGTACCTAAGGACAAACAGAAGAAATTAAACTTTTCTCAGCAGAGTATCTCTTTGTCATGGACACTTTTTAATTCATGCAAAAAAAAAGGAGTTTGTTAGTGCTGTAATATGTTTACCTGTGGAGATAACAGTGGGAGTACAGGTTATGTCATAAACAGATAGGAGTAATACTGTGCCTTGCTTCTGTGTAGGAAAGTTCTCAATGGAGCAGCCCAGTAAAAAATTATTATAGGATATACTCCTGGAGCATTAGCCCCTCCTCATTCATATATAAAAGGACCAATGAGTAGTAGCAAGTTAAAAAATTGGACAAATCAGTGTGTGCTCAGAGAGAATCGAAGAAAAGCCCAAGATGTGCCTAGGATGAGGCTTAACAACTTGAGGACAGTGCAATGGGATCAAGAAAAGAAAAGAGAAAACACAAATAAATGCACAGATGTTTCTTATCCAGTTTGGAGCTATGAGACATCTACTGAAAATTGGTGTCACACCTCAGATATCTTTAATGCCATGCAAAGACAGCAGGCAGATGTGGGAAAGGTACCCAATGAGGCATCATCAGTAACCAGATGGCATTCACTTGCACTTCCAGAGGGCACCACCCTTTCATGCAGCACTAGCACAAAGGGTGGATTTGTGTCTAGGTCAGACATAGAGGTTTAAATGTCATGTGAGAGTCCTGACTAGACTAATCCATATAAATACAGAATTTCCTACGAGGAGGATTGTAAATTATGCATAGGTGAAATAAGAACAAACACATGGGTATATAAGAGCCTGTAAAAGACCCAACTGTAATAAACCATATAAACATCAATGTCCTACAACAGAAGACACTTTTGTTTTACTGAAATAACTTCTCAAACCCAAACACTAGTGGGGTGTTAGGTTGGAACAGAAATACTCAGATCACCATATACAATATAACTGTGGACCCACGGGCTAAATGAGCATTTAATAGAGAAAACCTCACTGCTATAAATTCCACCTGTCTTGGAGAAGCAGGAAACAGAATTAAAAATCTTAAGGGATAGCAATGTCAGGTATACATATCTTTAAAAATGTATTTTGATTTGTCCACATTGCAGTCTGTAATGGGGTACAGACATTTATAAATGGTGAATTTGATAGATATGTCAGATTTTAAAAATATATTATATAAGTTCTTATTTTTGCCAGTTGTAAAAATAAATAAAATAAAAAGCTTTCCTACAAAAAAAATCAAGAAACACTCTTCTACCTGAAGTGAGTAGAAGAAAAAACCTCTTTGTTAGGGTAAGCAAGTCACTAATGATTCAAAATGAGAAGTAAGACATCATAAGACGTGACCTAAATCCCACTAAGGGAAAGTGTCTAGAGGTAAAGTAATATCAGTGAAAAAGTAAGGATGAGAGATAAAGATGGCTTCTATGGCATTTAGAGGTGGCAGAGAGGCAGCTCTGAAGTCAGCAAAAGAAAAAGCAGATGAGCCACAAGTCATGAAATAAGAATAAGAAAAATGAGGCAATCTGTTGATGAACTTGACAAAAAGACAAGAAACTGAATTTCAGAGACACCAACTCCTCAATATTGCCCAGTGAGATTGGGAGACTGCTAAAAATTAACATTGGTAAGAATGTGAGAATGCTCAAACTACTTGAAAAGAAAATACAATTTCTCTAATAGACTGCATAAAGCCAGTTGCAAAGCTGTAGGTTATGAATGTTGATGTGGAAAATGGATGTTTGAAGCTGGCATAGAAAACATTTCCAAAGAGGTTGTGAAATGGAATCCCATTGAGATATATATGATGCAGCAGGAGAACCCATGGTAGAGCCAGCCAGTGTGGACCAATAATGAGAACTCAGCATTTTGATGAATTGATATTGGCCAATTCCTGAGGAAAAAAGATGAAGAGGTGAACATTTTTTTTTTAAAAACTTAGCTCAAAGTATCTACTTCAAGAGAAGCAGGGTCTGAAACTGAGGACCAGTAACATGGAAGAATATGTTTGTTCACCATTACAAGTACATTGATAAGAGATTGATCCAGGCTATTGGCACAACCAATTAAAAACTGAAGGGTGAAGGATCCATTCTGTAGGAAATATATGAGAAAAATGTGCAAAAGACCAAACACAAGACAGCTTCAGAGATGATAAGCATTATGTGAATAGAGCCAAAGATAGAGAGAATGCAGTAAAACAAAGACTGCAAAATCAAGTTCCTCTTTGATTCGCGCTAAAAAATCATTGTAGAAATCTTTAAAACTAAGGTACAATAATAATGTAGTAAGAGTAGGAACGTTCAACAAGCATACTGAACTGCCCAAAGATTGACATGAGATGTTAAGTCATGAAGAGAGAAGGTATTTGGTTTCCCCAAGATAGCACCCCAGCCTCAAGATAGACATATGTGAAAAGATGCAGATCTTTATGAAGTAGAAGAAAGAGGGGAACATGCAGCAGTAAACTTCCATTTGAATCAAAACTGAAAGTAACTGAGAGTAGTGGACTGAAGATATATAGCACTGAGAAATAAGATTCCAATAGAAGTATCACATGTACGAGAGTCCCATGGGAATGACTTTGTGAAGTGAAGCCATTGTCCCTAGAGTGAAAGAGACATCTTTGGTGGTGATGTGAAAGACAGAAGAATATGAATATGTGAGGCAAATATTTGCAGTGCCATAGGAGCTGGTTGAAGTGTTCCTTGAAATGTGTGGATCCAAAAATCCCTGATGTACCAAATCCTGTGTTTCCACTTAATGAAATGTAGAGTTGTAACTGAATCAGTTACAAGAGATATGCCCAAATAGGCAGTTAACTGAGTATGTGTAGGAGACTGAATGGGCGAAAGCATTACAAGAAGTCAAATATTCATGTAAAAGTAAAAGTCAATGTCTAGTGAATGTAAAGAAAATCCAGCAAAACTATACAAGTTGACAGAAGCAGTTGACAGGATAGGATGGTAGATGAATAGTGATATTAAAGACAAGCATCCTGTATATTCATGAACATCATCCATAGGCTGTGAATAAGAAACTTTTGTTACAACCTCATGTATTCCAATAGAAAATAAAATGTCTCCAGGAAAAGGTTAATTGAGACAAGTCTTTAAGCTCCAGATTTCCTCAGAACACACAGAGATGAGAGTTAAAACCTGAAGAAGTTAAATAAATGGATTTGAATGCTCTTTTCTGAAGGCGGTTTTAGATTTCCTGGTCAAGAATTTGGAAGCAACTGGATCAGACAGATAAAAAAAAGACATTTAGACTAGATGGAAAGATCTGTCAAACCCAAGGACTACAAAGCAAGGGTCTCACAGATGAACTAATAATCTGAAATGATTCTTCTCCCCTCAACAGACAAGATGGGTGAATTGTTTGACACAGAAATGAGTAGTTGAGTGAGTCAAGAAGATTCACATTTCCTAAACCCACATTTAGCAACGTAGTACATTCTAATGAAATGAGCAGAAGTAAGGATGTCAATGAAAAGTAGATGAAGTAATGAAGGCATAAAAATGAACATTACTTGTTGGTCAATTTGATAGGAACAACTAACAGAAATTAGGACTAGTTGAGAAATCCTTCTCTTCAACTATGAAGATGAATAGGCCTGAGCAAAATATATATTTTGTCTTTCTTTTTCACTCATATCATCATGAGAAAAGGGCTAGCATTCTGTAGGTGAGCATGTATATGAACGTAAAACCTGACAAGGTCACTGACATACAATTCAGAAATAATAATCAGAATAGGTTGATCAATAAGGGCTGACAATGCCACTACAGAATGTTTCTGCATGCTAGAGTAAAAATTCATGTGTAAAGCCTCCAGACAAGGTATAAAATTTCCAATATTGGCAGAAACATAAGCAGCAGCAGTAGTTAATGTTGAGAATAGAATTCAGCTGTCAATAAGAAAATCTAAATTATGGAAGAATGCACAGCTTATATATGATCTTCTTACATGTACAATAAATCAAGTGGAAGGTGGAAGAGTGGATGCATGGTAGGCACTGTAACAGGGACATTACGAACTTTGAATCACATAGTTGTTGACACATGTGGGCAAGTCAACAAGGAAAAGATTTCAGCATTTCAGAAGTAAGTTGATCTGATTTGAATTGCCATTTACCTATACATTATACAATTCTATTGGCGTACTAGTAAAGTTATGCAGGAATGCCAGAAACTTGCACCACATTCCAGTGGTAACTTGTGTGGATGGAAACTGCATCTTTATCATTTTAACTATAAATTTAGCTTCATAACAAACTGTACAACTAACAGATTTATAAAAGTTGCATTCTGTGCACTAGATGCACAATTCTCTCCCAAAACACAAATACTTGTATCTTGTTGTTTCATATAGTTTTTACTTGTTTATATTTTATTATTAAGAGTTTGAAACCTGTTTGCAAATTTAAAAACTGTGAATTCTTTATGTATCAATAATTATTTCTTCATGTAGTGCACGATTAGGAAGGAGCTGTAGACCAGACCCAAAATGAGACTGAATGAAAACCTGGAATTTACTTAATCATTTTAATGCTCTTGTCTTCACTGTAACACTTGAGCTCCCAGTAACCTATTTCTACATTTTTTGCTGGTGTCACTTTTTTGCCAATGGCAGATAGAGGTTTAAGCATGATCAATTGCCCTGTGCATTAAAGTCAAGCTCTAGAAGATAGAGCACAATTTGAAAACTTGCAGGGTAAAATGTTGTATAAAACTACTGTGTTAAAACAAAATCTGTAAATTCTATGGTTGTTGGTATTTTTGATCATTGTTTATAAAGTAGTTCCTTTGTTTCATCACAATAAAACAGATCCACATTTAGTTTCTAACATGCTTCAATGGCAATGAAACTTCAAGTAATTTGTACATGAGCTGTATTACAAATTTCCATGTACAAATATGTGATTTACCTATACATTCTACAATCCTACAATCAATCTAATTGGGATTAAGGTACAGTATTCTGCATATTAATGCTTCTTATCTTGTAACATCATCACAAAAATTAACATATTAAATAATTTACCTGTTTATTAACCAAAACAAAATACTGTATCTCTTCTTCTTCAAACGTTCTTCAAACAAGGGTATTCTGAAGAACAAAATTAATTACTGATTACTTGTGAACTGTTAGTGTAGCAGGTTTTGATCACAAGTAAGAAACAAAGAAAGCATTTTGTCTAGATATAAAATATGTCTTTACACCAAAGCTTGATTAAAAAAACTTTCTGGTGTGTCTAAGGCCACATACAGTACCCATAACATTCTTTAGTTATTATACTAGTTATAGTGCATAGAACTTTTTTCATCAATTCTCCTAATAAAATAATATTATATCAGTACTCAAATAAAACAATTAAATGAACAATACCGTTGAAGTTCTCAACTATCATATGTAAAGAAAAACATCAATATTTTATGTTCTTACACATATGTATTAAGAGTTTATCACCTGTAATATAGATAGGTGTTCAATATGAAGAAGTAAATTACAAAGTTACCAAAGAAATAATACAGGTAATTTATAAAAAAAAGTGAAATTATTAAGCAGAATGTGCTCTACAAAATCCAGTGTTTTAAATTAGATTTTCTGGTGCTATGATCTCCTAGTGAAGAATCAATATTCAATAAATATGATGAGTATAAAACAATGCATAATGTTTAAATGAGAAACACTTATGATCTTTATCAAATTGACTATATTTGTCTTGAGTTTTCTAAAGTTAATAGTGAAATACTTTTTCTGTGAAATATATTTAATAGGCTTTATTTTATGTGAATACTAGAACACAGAATACTAAAAGATTGTCCTTTTATACCATCTTCAAAGTCCCCACTTGCAGTTATTAACTACAGGTTACTCAGGGTAAGGTTTGGAGATATTGTTAAAAAGATATTCAACAATAACATGATGTATCCATACTTTAATGCTGATAATAAATCATAAGTTGTTGAAGTTCCAGTATGTTTGTGCTTTATCACTAACAGTGCAAGTTAAATTTTAAAAGGAATGATTTTCTGTATAAAAAGTATTGTTGTTTTACCATGTATTAAATTCAAAACTTTTAATGTCCTCATACTTTATAATTATGGTAACACACAATGTATTATAAATTTACCATTATATACTGTTACCTTAAATATTTAAATTGTGATATTTCTTTTGAATGTACACTAGTCCCCAATTTTACCCATTACTTTTATTCATTCTCTTGCTTGCATAAAAACTATTCAGTTTTTCCAGCAGAGGCTTCTTTACCTCAAAGATCTCCACTGTACATATATACATCATGTTCAAACTAAAACTTTCACAACAAGATTTATGGCATTTCAGATTTATTACAGAAACTTAAAAAAGAAATAGAATAAACAGCATGAAAGAAAAAAACACAAACAAATGCACTACAATCTTAGTATAACTTTCCCACAGATTTACAAATTACTCATTAGATGGCAACACTGTAAATTTTTCTTTTGTCTATAACTCTCCATTCTTGAATGAAATTATACTGAATAAAAATGACAGCTTGAAGGATGAATTAAGACATATTTACCAGACTAAATTTCATTCTTAGCAATAATAGCAGTTTGGATACTGATATTTATTGCTGATCTCCAGTTCATCCAGTTATATCTTTAGTAATCACCACTCCCTTTTACCAAACTTCTTCAAGTTAACAAGATGTCAGTGTTGAAAAATTTTCTATACTGTTCATCATTATTTCCTTTCTTCTGAATTTGTTAGGATGAATTGCATCCATGACAAATTTCAATTTCCTCAGTAGAATGAGAAACCTCGAGTGTTTGCTGTGTAATCAAATGATTCATTACCTGCATGCAAACAATGTTACTGACAGTGTAGCTTGAAGTGTTCCAGTTGTCATTTAATAAAACTCTGATCTGATAATCTGTATCACTTCCTTTTGTAAACCAATGGAATGTAGGTAGTCTGGTGGTGCTCATATGTGGATTATCATATACTTTATTAAGATTTCAACAGTTCTTCCCTTATGAAATCTGTACTATTGTTTGAAACAATAACAACATCAGATGATCAATGAATAAAGAATGACATATCATTTCCTCCACAAAAAACTGTTTGTTGGGCCACTGGATGAAAAGAGATTAATCTAGCAATTATGGAAGCATATATATTAAGGATCAATCTATTCTTCACTGACAAAGTAAAGAGTGATGGATTAGGATTGTTTTTATTGGGCAATTTTGTTTTGCTTGAAAAATAATACTTGATTTTACACATTGTTCCAGGTTCTTATCAATCCCAAATCATCATTAATATGGCCTTGTCAAAGCATGATGAGTACAATGTCTCAGTGAAAGGTTTATTAATCCAGATTCATCATCACTTCCAGGAGGTGATATGATTATCCATAATCCTCTCATCAAACATCAATCTACTGTGCTAATATGGCCTTGTCAAAGCATGATGAGTACAATGTCTCAGTGAAAGGTTTATTAATCCAGATTCATCATCACTTCCAGGAGGTGATATGATTATCCATAATCCTCTCATCAAACATCAATCTACTGTGCTAATTTCAGCTTCAATGCAACTTTCTTCTGGTCCATATATGAAAGAAAGCTCGTCATTGAATAACTGTATGCCTTAGCTAGTAACACATCCTGGTCAATTCATTTTCTGATTTCAATAGCCAACATATATTTGTTGTATGGACTTTAAGTAAAAAACAATCTCATACAGTTTTGCAACTTTAACAGGTGCAGATTTTGGTCAGAAGCTAACATGGTGTATGATTCTGGGTGGAGTCATCTGAGAAATACGTTTATCTACTTCCAAACAGACTCAGAACTAGCTTGTGAACTGCAATGATTATAAACTTTTGACACAAAAGATACTTTTTGATGCAATAAATTTTATTTTATTTGGTGCAATGAGTATGCAGTACAGAAATACCATTTGTTTCTGAGAATTATAATAAAGAACTATATATAAGAATTAGTGTTATATTAGATATATATAGCACACAAGTACTGCAAACATTGCAGTAGTTGTTTCAGAAGGTAAAATCTTACTATTTCTTTAACAACTGCTTCAAAAATGTGTCCTTCTTTAGCAGTTTAATGCAGTACTTCAGGCAAACAAGAAAACAATATCTAAAATGATACAGCAACAGGGCTTAAAATGAACAATAACAGACTAATAAACTGCTGGTTAGTGTTGTAGTTATGTTAATAAAACTTACAAGGCACCAGAAACAATTGGTATTACACATTTCAGAAGGATGGTTGTAGATTATTTTTTGTGTATTAATACACCTGTGATACATGCATTTCAGTCATTCACACACAAGATTTTGAGTACAGACAGTTACTATAACTGTGATTAACAATATTGTTTCAACTGCTGTTACCATACTGGTTTTGTGATTTACATTTCAGCTACATGGCATATCCAGGTTAAGTATAAAAAATTGAGATAGCAAGAATTCACTTCAACTTGTTTGATCAGCTGCCAAGGTAAATTAGCTTACCTATTCTTCCTCTGCAGTTCAGTTTTGTCAGCAGTGTGGTTAGAAATAGTGTGCTTAAGTGGCTGCTCATTGGAAGTAATAATTAAATAGAAATCATGTAAGCTGCAGATATTTCATCGACATTCTTCTTAAATGATCCATGATTAGCTCAAATGTTAGGTCTGTTGACTTCTAATGCTTTGTCAGCTTTTAATGTTTAAACCTTGACTTTTAATAATAAAATACTTTTTTTTTAGTATAAGTTGGAAATCAGCAGAGGGGTACTGTAGATTTTGTTGACCCAGCACTCATGGCCAATATACACCAGTTTCTGACCAAACCAAGTGTCTTTTGAGAAATTTTTTAAATAAGAATTCTGTTACTGTGTTTGATTAAAAAATATTTAGATTTTGTATTTTTGTACTGTCTATTTATAACTAACTCAGTTGGTGTCAGAGAAGAACAGCCCTATACTCCATAGTAAAGTGTTCATCAGATCTCCAATTTTGCAGGACCTAATCATTTACTCAAAAGGAAATTAGTGTAACTGAGAATACCATACATGGCTAAGCTGTTAGTAGCAAATGGTATTATGGGACATTCAACTGCTATTGTTAAAGATTTGGCAATACCCTGTCTCACTAGCTTAGACTTTATTCAACAGAAAGAAGCTAATGCAGACTTTCTGACAAAAGTCACTGAAAGAATGTGCATTCTCTATACTGTCACTCCAACGAAACATTGATCAATGAAGTGCAGTGCTTGCGTATAAAAGGTAATGAAAACTTAAAGGAGGCATTACAGAAATATAGTGATATTTTAGTAAGCCTGGACTTACAGACGTTGCCGAATATAGCACTGAAACCATTAGTGAAAGATCAATATTTAGTAAGCAATATCATTATTTGCCCATTAAGTTGTACATGCTTCGCAAACAAGAGGATAAAATGCTCCATGATGTGTTGATTAAGCCTTTCATTTCTTTATGGATTTCTTCAGTAGTTATTGTTGAGAAAAAGACTAATGATTTTTGGTTCTATGTGGAGTTAAGGAAGTTGAACCAGGTCTCAAAAACTGATAGATATCTCTTACCCCTTATGATGAAATTCTGAATGCCTTGCCAAAAGCAACATGTATCAGCATACTAAATTTGTCTAATGAATTTTGGAAAATACCTGTAAAAGCTAAGGTCAGATCTAAAACTGCATTATCTATTACCTTTCAAATATTAATGGATAAAAAAGTCCATAAAGGATCAACAGAGTTCTAATTCATATATATTGATGACATTATTGTATTTTTGCCAATATTTGAGCAATATCTCAGAGACACCAAACTAGTTTTTTTTTAATAAGCTTTATTAAGTTAATCTATCTTTAAAAATTTGTGAAAGTAAATTCTTCCAACCAGAAGTTTCTTATCTAGGGTTTGAAATTACTCCTGCAGAAATATATACAAATGATAAAAAGGTTAAAACTGTAAAAGACGTTCCTATTCCAATGAATTGTAAGTAATTATGTACTTTTTTTAGGTATGGTGCTTTGTATTATAAATTCCTTCCTAGCACTGCTACAATTGCTGAACCCTTATATCAGTTAAGGATAAAGTGTGTCAAATGGAATTGGACTCTTCAGTGTCAAGATGCACTTGATAATATAAAGCAGCAAGTGATTCATAAAGGTCTAAAAAGAGTGAAAATTACTTTCCATTTCAGATGGCTCAAATGTTGGAGTGGGAGCAGTTCTATATCAGAAGAGTGTCATTGTATATAGTAGAAGAACAAAAGTCACTGAAAGAATGTGCATTCTCTATACTGTCACTCCAAAGAAACATTGATCAATGAAGTGCAGTGCTTCATATTTCTAGGATATGAAATATTTCTTCTCTGGGACTGTATGATTGAATATCCTACTAATCCTCAAACTGTGGAAGAGCAAATACCTGAATTGCAGCAAGCTCTTTAGAAACCAAAATACAACACTGATACAGCTCAGAAACTTAGTTAAGCTTAGGAACTATAACAAGAGCTATCTCAGAAGCTGGATGTATTCTCCATCTCACTGATGAAAGCCCTGCAAGTCTTCTGTAGCCAACACTGTCAGTCATCCTTAACTCTTACTGCTGTTGACCATCACTGACTGTCAGTATCACTTTCACTAAGCTTAACTAATTGATAGATCCTTATGGCAGTTCCTGCTCAAGTCAGTCAGAGAACATTATGAACAAATCCACAAATCAACTACCAAAGGTTAGCTAGTCTCCTATGTGCTGTGATGAAAAACTGAACTATTCCAGTAAATGGAACCAGAGCTGGAACCAAGAAAAGAACAGACAGAAGATACCTTCAAATAAAGCTTTTGTCAGGTACCTGTACTTAAAGTGTAAAAAGATACCTAATAGTGAGACAGAGTATTTGATTTACTGAGGGGAAAATTGGGAACTTTAATAAATGATTGTCATCAATTATTTTTTTAAAAAGGAGAGGAATGTGAGATAGCAAATTTTCTTTATTTAGTTATAGTTATGTTTATCATCAATGTATTTTTTCTTTTTATCACTTAACTCAGCTATATTTTTATTTACTTTAAAAATAAGTTCACCAAAATGATGTATATTCAGTTTTTAAAATACAGGATTATATTTATTCAGGGCTTGAATTGAAATGGAACAAACTGGGATGTCATCCCTTATTGGTGGTAAATATGAGTATACCTTATGGTTACTCAAGGATTCATTCATAACTTTGGTCAAAGATATCAGGGTAGCAGCAAGAAAAAAAACTATTAAGACTGCTAAAGAAACAGAGGCTAAAAAGCAAAGTGGAGCCACTGAAAAAAATCATTTTTAAAAAAATTCAGTCAGAATACAGATGCTTCAGACAGTGATGAAAGCATAAATTACAAGACTGGTGGCAGACTTCAAGTGTCAAATAATTCATTCGATGATGACAAGATCTTTGGAGAAACTAGTACAGATACTGGTACTGCAGCTGATAATAAAGTCTCAGAGAAAGAACAACATGAAATGAAGAGTTCCATCATGCAACTACTGGTAGGGATGATTAAACATCCTAATCACAAAATGAATGACAATATATGTATCCCAAAGTTTGAAAATCCTGTGTTTTGGCCAGAATACATAAGTATGAGTAACTGTAATTTCTTAGTAATGAAAGATCCACAGAAAAAGTATGATTTTTCAAGGGATCACACAGTATGAAAGTTTTCAAAAACCTACTACAAATATGTCAGAAACTACTTTTTTTTAGTAATATACATAGTAGTGCAAATATATGAGTGTATTGGGCTAAGGATTCTTCTACAGTAGGTGTCTGTGACTTGTTGGCAATAAATTCGACAATAAACGAACAGCACGCACTTCACTTGTTTTCCCATCGTTTGTCTTTGGGAACCACCAACAATAAGAATAATCATAATGAATAAAGAGTACTTTTTGACAAAATATACCAATTAATTTAGTAATATAAGATTATTTTAATTAGATACTTAATCTGACATTACAGCTAACTTGTTTGTCATGTAAAGCATAGAAGTGCCTGATGTCTTATTAATTAATATTACTATATTAATACAGTCATATAATAAACATAAACAGTTGGTCAGTGTTTTAGTAAATTTGAAGCAGTATTTACTTTAAACCAGCAAAATATGTTTAAAAAATATTTTCTTTAAAAATTCAGGATTTGAATAGACTGTTTTATTTTTATCTAGAAATTCACTTACACTGTTAATAAATCTTTTAAGGTACCACACCAGAAGGTCATTGTCAAGTAAATGATGATTGTCCTTCCAACCAGGCTTGTGACGTCACCATCAGGAAATGTCATGGTAAGTGTAAACACTTTTAACTGATTAGGAAAATATATTAAAAACAAAGAGCACATTACTAATACCATGATGTAAAAAAACAAGGTGTTGTTAGGTGTCAAAATTTTTCTTCTTAGAATAGACATTACCTGATTAACATTCATGTTGTATAAAGGCAATAATTTGTTTTTGCCGTGTGGGATTTGTTATTAATATTTGGTTAAATGAGCAGAATCAGTAGCATTGATGTAGACTACACACTAGATTCAGAAAACAATATCTTTGATATGAGGATTTTAGAAAACACTAAAATACTTACTGAAATATTAGAATTATTCACATGTAAAACTAACCAAGTTACTCAATCTGATAATATATAGCTTAGTTAAATTATTGTATTCGTGAAATTTAGTACATCTTTTCTGTGTTTTTCCCTCAGTTCTCCCTGCTAAGAATTTAACTAACTCAGTTTTTAATTGCAGTGTTAGTTTTTATATTCAAATAATTATTAGACATCGTTGTAAAAGGCTGTTGTTCTTTTGTGGTCAAGCTTGACTGGTTTTGTTTTGATAACCTTTATAGCACTTTGTAGTTTTAGTAATCTGAATTTTCCTTAGGTTAAGGCCCAGCATGGGTAGGTGGTTAGGGAGCTTGACTTACAATTTGAGGGTTGTGGGTTCGAATCCCCTTCCCACCAAACATGCTCGACCTTTCAGCCATGGGGGCATTATAATGTGACAGTCAATCCCACTCTTCGTTGGTAAAAGAGTAGCCCAAGAGTTGACGGTGGGTGGTGATGACTATCTGCCTACCCTCTAGTCTTTCACTGCTAAATTAGGGATGGCTAGTGCAGATAGCCCTCTTGTAGCTTTGCAAAAAATTCAAACCAAACCAAACTTTAGATTAAACAGAGTCTATATCAGAAATGTCTTAAGTGAGTAGTTATGAATGTGAGCAGTGTAATAAGAACTAAAAACATATCACACTATAATATATCTTTACTTACCTTATAAGTAAATAGGAGTCATGAAAAAATACCTTTTATTAGATCTACCTTTTTTCTGCTGTTTTTGATAACACCAGCCTACTTTCAGTAGCACCAAAATATTTCAAGTTTAATAAAAATTGATCAGATGCTTCTGTCTCATGAGTATTTTGCAAAAAAGTGAGTCTATATAGATGTGTGTGTGTGTGTGGTGAATGAAAGTTGGTTGGAATGATTAACTGAATTCATAGAAGGTTAATGTTGTCTTTTGTTTCAGATCCCTGTCTGGTTAAGGAAATGTGTCACTCAAATGCCCACTGCAAAGTGAGTAGTCATAACCCTTACTGCTTCTGTCCAACAGGTTATACTGGAGATCCAAGATCTGGTTGTCACAGAAGTAAGTTACAAATATTTATGTGATACAATTTCATGTTTGTCTTATTTAGTGAATGTTGAAAGATGTACTACCTCACTGATTAAGGCATTTTCACTATAATTTTTTAATAGTAAAATGATTACCAAACTCTTAGCTTTGTTAGAGAACTTGAAAAACAGTAGCAGCAACAATAAATATTCAGTAATGAAATATCATTATTAGATTTAACCAAATGATACTGCTGTTTACTTTGTTTCTTTGGGTTTTCCATTTTTCTTAAATTTATTTTCTTCATATATTCATCATCCTCCAGTTCAAGGTTGCCAGACAGATGAGAATTGTCCAGGGAATCTTGTTTGTTTATCCAACAAGTATTGTGGCTGTAGTGAACAGTTCAGTAGGATATTTGACTTTTGCATTTGTAAGTTTTGTCATTTATAATTTTTGTGCTTTGATGGATTAAATTATATCATTGGTTGAAGAGTATTCATTTTCAAGAGTAATAACTGTGGTAGTACAACAAAATAAGACAAAAAATATTTTGCTGTTAACAATTACATTACAAGCATGATATAAAAGGAGTGAATGCTACCATATCATTTAAAATTTGTCTGTCTAATTTGTTATCTATAGATCTTTTTGCTACGTGCCTGAGGGTTTGAAGTATTGTACTAAGATTTTGAATGTTTGCCTCAATATATTTGATGAACTCTGTCATTGAGCTAAAAACTTTTTTACCACTACCTTATAATGGTTGAAATGATACCCTGCACTTTTTTTTTACCACAAGCCCATATTTGACTACTTGAAAGTGAAGTATTAAAAAATTATATTCATCACATTTTATCATACTTGCTACTCAACAAAAAAATTAACAGATTTACTAGTTTTTGTTTTATAAATAGTTCGACCTAATGTTTCTTTTAAACCAGCGAATATACTCGATAAGAATGCTTTCTTTAAAAATTCAGTATTTTATTACAACTTTTAGATCATAAAAAAAATATTTTGTCAGGTTTTTATAGGGGTTGGATTTCTTAAAGTAGGTGTCTGTTTAAAAAATGGACAGCACAAAATCCACTTGTTTTAATGTAGTATATTCAAAACAAGTCAAACATATCTACAAAAATTCGTTACACTATTGGTTATCACAGGTGTATACAGAGCTTAAAATCGTTGTCTCCTTTTCATCAAGGCCCAGCATGGCCAGGTGGTTAAGGTGCTCGACTTGCAATCTGAGGGTCACGGATTCGAATCACCATCCCACCAAACATGCTTGCCCTTTCGGCCATGGGGGCATTATAATGTGATGGTCAACTGCACTATTCATTGGTAAAAGAGTTGCCCAGGAGTTGGCACTGGGTGGTGATGACTAGCTGCCTTCCTTTTAGTCTTTCATTGCTAAATTAGGGACAGCTAGCACAGATAGCTCTCATGTAGCTTTATGGGAAATTCAAAACAAAACAAACCTTTTCATCAAAGTCCACACAGGCAGGTTTAATTACTTTAGAACACCCTTTGACAAGACAAATTATTATTCTTTATCTCTGTTATATCAATACCACTGTGAAACTCACTTTACTTATTGCCCTTTATAACTAAATTAGCAATAACACAGTCTAATTTCATTTTCACTAGTGTCATATATAAAAGATTTTTTAGTGTAGGTAGTATTCTTAATGAATTTATTTTGTGTTTGTAATTCATTGATGTCAAGGCTATCAAACATTGTGTTTGTAATTCTTTGATGTCGAGGCTATGGAGATTTCTAGAAGGCCTAAGTGATAGACGTATAAATAACTGCAACCAGATGAGCAGAGTAAAGTCACATGAAAGAGAAGTTTGGTCAGAAAAAAGTTAGAAAATGTAAAGTTAACTGTCGTGGGAGTGAATGGCCTAATGGTTGATATGTTAGAGTGAGATTTGAAAGAGGTAAGGAGAAAAATTTGTCTCATCAAAGGGTGTTCTAAACTACTTGAACCCGTGTGTGTTGACTTTGACAAAAGGGAGACGATTATTGAAAGCTCAGGATACAACTGTGGTAACTCACACAAAATCATAGTTTGGGTTGTCAACTGAATACTAAAGCAATTGAATTGGTCTAAGTGGACAGGAAGAAGAGAACTGTATAGTGTTTAAGATATAACTATGATCTCCATAGTGTAAAGAATTTTTGTACATAAGTTTAACTTGTTTTGAATATATATATATATATTATTTTCTCAGCAGATGGTCCGTTCTTTAATATAACCTCTCAGCAGATGGTCCGTTCTTTAATATAACCTCTCAGCAGATGGTCCGTTCTTTAATATAACCTCTCAGCAGCTGGTTTAATATAACCTCTCAGCAGATGGTCCGTTCTTTAATATAACCTGGCTGTGATATGAAAATAGTTCTGTACTGAGCTAGATTCTTTATGGATTATCCCAATATGACATTACTTAGAGTTTCCTTTAGAAAAGGGA